TATCTATCTCTCTATTTGTCTGTCTATCTAGGTATCTGCCTTTCTATCTATACACGTATCTATACATGCATCTATAGTTATATCAGTATCTCTCTGTCTCTCTCTCTCTCTTCCATATATATATATATATATATATATATATATATATATATATATATATATATATATATATATACATATATACATATATATATATATGTATATATATATATATATATATATATATATATATATATATATATATATATATATATATATACATATATATATATATGTATATATGTATATATATATATATATATATATATATATATATATATATATATATGGAAAAAAAATCCACAGTGCAATAACTAGATCCACCTTCTAAGAATCTAGTTTTTGCATTGTGGGTTTTTCATCTATCTATTCATATTCATACATGGATATATACCTATATATTTATCTATATATGTCTGTCTTTCTACCTTTCTACTTTTTCACACACACACACACACACACACACACACACAGACACACACACACACACACATTACTTCTTATGTGGATGCAGACAGGTAATCGTAAGCTGAAAGCGTTGTTGCGAGAAGCTGCAGTCATCGAGAAAAAGAAATTTGGGATGCCACTTCAATCAGGGGATTGGCCTCGCAATAAAAGGGAAAGCAAGAAAGAATAAAAGAGAGCAAAAAGAGAGAGAATAAAAAGGCAAAGCAAGAAGTCAGACGCTAGTATTGGCCGTGACAAAGGGACTGGAGTGGGACGTGGGAGGGAGGGAGTGAGGGAGGGGAGGGAGGGAGGGAGGGGAGGGGAGGGGAGAGGGAAGGGGAGGGGAGAGGGAAGAGAGGAAAGGGGAGAGAGAAGGGAAGGGGAGAGAGAAGGGGAGGGGAGAGGGAAGGGAGGGGAGAGGGAAGGAGAGGGAAGGGGAGAGGGAAGGGAGAGGGAAGGGGATAGGGAGGGGATAGGGAGGGGAGAGGGAGGGGAGAGGGAGGGGAGAGGGTGGGTGGGAGAAGGGACGGGGAGAGGGGAGAGGGAGGGGAGAAGGAGGGACGAGAAGGTCACAAAGAAATAATCGTGTGTAATGCAAGCAGGAGAAGCGACACACAAAAGCAAAAACAACAATAAAAAACAACAAACAAGAGCAAAGCCCCTAAAAATAATGTCAAGACCCACACAAGAGGGAAAAAAATAAACAGAGTAAGATTTAAAAACCAAACAAAAGAAACCGTAAAGAAAAGGAAAGAAGCGCAAACACGGGGGACAAAGAGACCAGCATAACACACCAAACAGCAAAGGAAGAACAGCCGAGAGAGGAGAGCTGGGCAACAACTCATTCAAGCAAGATGTTATTCGAACATAAAGCGACATTCACTCTGCCAAACAAGCCATGGACAAGCACAAGCAAGGCTGCCTGAAGGGAAGACACCATCAGAACGCAGAAGCTGACGTCTGCAGTTCGTCGTCTATTCAGCAAAACACGGTCAACATTATCATGCAAATTGCAACGCAGACTCCGCCCTGAGCTACAGTTGTGAAAAAAAAAACAAAAAAACAAAAAAAAAGAGATAGAAAAAAGAGAGGTGATGAAGGATTCGTGTTTTTCTTTACACTAATCTTGCTTTTAAGGAATTGGAACAGAAGTCGGGATTTGGAACCTGGGTTTGGCAGCTGATGCCAAGATACTGTGGCAAAGACAAAGGGGGGGGGGGACTGGGGAGGAGAGGTCGGAAAGACAGAGAGAGAGAGAAAGAGAGAGAGAGAGAACGAGAAAGAGAAAGAGAGAGAGAGAGAGAGAGAGAGAGAGAGAGAGAGAGAGAGAGACGAGAGAGAGAGATAAGAGAGAGAGAGAGAGAGAGAGAGAGAGAGAGAGAGAGAGAGAGAGAGAGAGAGAGAGAGAGAGAGAGAGAGAGAGAGAGAGAGAGAAAACAAATTAGGGTGAGAGAGAGATACACACATAGACAAACCGACAGAAACACAGACAAATAGACAGAAAGACAGAAGGAGAGAGAAAAAAAAAAGAAATCCAGACAGACAGAGAAAGATGAACATAACAGCCAAGACGATTCCAAGCCACGTCCCCCTAATAATTGTTTCAGCGTCTTGTTTACGACCTGTAATTAAAGTCAAGCGGACGATGTACAACTCTACCACGAGTATGCAGGCAGCGACGCACATGGAAATGCAGAACACGTCTAGAACATGTCTAGCGCCCAAGCCAGACTTATGCTCCTCTCATGGAAACGAAATGCCGGCGGCCAGAGAGATGCCAAGGTCAACACAACCCGAGATATTAGATTAATTGTCCACTCGAGGTCGGCGAAGGAGGCGGGGGTGGGGGTGGGGGTGGGTGGGGGGGTAAGTGGAGGAAGAAAGGGGTGGGGGGTGGGTGGAGGGGGTGGGGGTGTGAAGGTTTTGTCATGGCTCATGTCTCGGAATTCCTTTTGGTGAAAGAAGATTTTCGTTGTTTTTATTTTTATTTTTATTTTTTTCTTAATTTGTTCTGGATTTTTTTTTCTTGTTTGAATATATATGCGATATAGATATTCTCATTACTGTTATTATTATTGTGATTATACATTATCATTATTATCATTTTTCTTGTTAATATTATAATCATTATTATCATAATCATGAGTCTTTTCTTTCTGATATTATTTTTATTAATATCATTATTGCTATTGATAATATCATTATTATTACAATCATTATTATTATAGTTATCATTACTATCATTATCAGCGTTATCATTATCATTATTTTCAATATCATTATTATCATTATTATCTATTCATTATTATCATTATTATATATTTATTATTATCATTATTATCTATTCATTATTATCATTATTATATATTTATTATTATCATTATTATCTATTTATTATTATCATTATTATATATTTATTATTATCATTATCATAATTACTATTATCATAATTATCATTATCGTTATGATATTTATTATTATCATTATTATAATTACTATTATCATAATTATCATTATCGTTATGACATATATTATTATCATAATAATTGTTATCCCTATTGTTATTGTTATTATTATCATTATTATTTGTATTATTAATATCATTCTCATCACCCTTAATTCATCATTACTATTATTATTACTATTGTTATCATTATTATTATTGTTATTATTATTATTATTATTTTTATTGCTATTATTATCATCATCATTATTGCTATTATTATCACTATTATCATTATAAACATTATCATTATCAGTCATTATTATCATTATTACTATTATCATTTTATTATTGTTATTATTATCAATTTTATAATTGTCATCATTGCTATTATCATTGTCATCCTCCTCTTCATTACCTTCATTATTATTATTATCTTTATTAATATTATTATTGTCATTATTATCATTTTCATTATCAATATTATCATTATTTATATTATTACTGTTATTATCATTAGTTTTATTATTACTAGTGTTATTATTATCATCATCAGTATTACCCTTATCATTATCAATCTTATCATTATCGTTGTCATCATCATGTGTATACGCCTGTACGTGTTAGTATATATGTGTGTGTGTGTGTGTGTGTGTGTGTGTGTGTGTGTGTGTGTGTGTGTGTGTGTGCGTGTGCGTGTGCGTGTGTGTGTGTGTGTGTGTGTGTGTGTGTGTGTGTGTGTGTGTGTGTGTGCGTGTGTGCGTGTGCATGTGCGTGTGCGTTTGTATGAGTGTGTGTGTTTGTCGTCTTTTTAAAAGAACGGGATTTGCCTTTCAAGCAACAGCCTTTCCTAGCATGAAAATTGCCCCACATATTCGCTCTTTGCTTTTGTCACCATGGGATAAAAGCCATAAAATTGTCTCATTATTCTAATATATAACAAACCTGCGTTGAAATTATTTTAGAGCGTAACACTTTGGTCGCTGCTTCGAATGGTCGTATATGTTAAAGCAACAAAATAATAGATATACAGAAAAACGTATATACATATATATTGATTTATTTTCTTCATCATTATTGTCATGATCATCATCGGGATAAAAAAACGGTTGTTATTTACATTTTCTTTTTATGTAACCTTCTGCATACACAGCTTTTACGGGCTCTGTTATCAAGTAAACATACGAGTGCTATTATTTGTATGAATTTGCATTTTTACCTGTATATCGGATATCGGGTCTGCATGACGCTTTGTTTCACGCACGTATATAAGCGTTTATATTTCTATATGTCCTTGGATGTGTTAAAATACATGCAAGTATACACCCACCTCCCTAAGTAACGGATTCGAACCCACGCACTCTACTTTCTGCCCCAAACGAGCAAACACTAAAGTTTATAATGAGTCGTTAGAGCTTTATCTGGGTCTCTCTGGCGTAACCTGGATCCCTTGCGTTCGAATCCTTGTCTTAGAGATGAGTGACGTATACAGACAGGTCTTAATTGGGATGAATAATGTGCTTTGAATTTGTTTTCTTATTCGAGAACATTATAACTGAAAGTATGATAACTGGCTTTGACTTTTTTTTACTTTTACTTTTTTTTTTTTACATGTAGCAGTCGATATGTACAGTAATATATATATCTTACATATGTACAGTAATACGTATTTTACTCATGTATAATAACATACATCCTACATACGTACACTAATATATGTATTACATATGAACAGTTATTTACATTTTTACACGTAGCAGGATTATGAGCGTCAAATTACTAGCCAATTCAACTCAACGTATCTGGCTAGTGGCTCCGCTAATTCATCAATCAATACGCGCTGTCCCCGTGAGCTCATAATGGGCCGGAGTAGCTGGCGGGAAGGACTGAGGTACTCCTAACCCCGTCCAGCAGATTCGTATTATTCTAAACCCGCGTGTATCTGCATCCATCCAGCCACCGTGACTTCATTATTGCATCATGCATATGCAGCCTGATACATTCGCATGGCGGCGCAAATGTATGCAAATGGAACAAATCTAATTTCTAATTCAAAATCTAATCTACTGACCGTCTCCCTTGTTGAGGAAGGGCGTGGCCGCTTTGTAGTGCCGCACCGTCAGGATGACCTCGTCGCCTGCCTGCCGCAGCTCCGCCACAGCCTCGTCGTGGGTACACCGCAGCAGGGACTGGTTGTTCACTGGGGGGGGGAGGAGGAGAGGTTGTTAGTTAAACTCAAGGTACATATAACCAGGTAGTTCCACTTTCATATAGCCTACTGAACCCAAAAATGAAATTGAATTTTTTCCCTAGAGTATTCTGACGGCTGTTAATGATGAGGAACTAATAGTTATCACAAGTAAAGGAGAGGAATTTTGTTTTTATTTCTGTTCAGCAAAATAATATCGAATAAATTGTACAAGAAATTATGTATCTAGCTATATTTGATAATTCACGGCGCATTCTCATTGGCTAAAGGTGGAGACGTCATTAGCTCCGCCCCATTTTCTTTATCCCAACAATTTGTGAGATATTTTATGGTAAGTGTTTTTTCAGTGCGTTTCCTTTGAAAAAGGTTCAGTAATACCAGTGGTTAAAAATTATCGAAATCGAAACCAAGAAAAAAAATAAAAATAAAAATGATAAAGGTAATGAGGCGGGGCTTAGGTCGGAAGTTGCCAACTAGGGTTTTCATCAAGATGGTGTGGTTATACCTGTGTAAAGATACCTGAAGGTGCAAGAAGGATTAGAGCTTTTTTGTTATACATGTGGCTGGTTTGATATATGTTGATATGGTGTGTCTGTGTCTCTCTGTCCCTCATCTCGCCCCCTTCATTCATTCATTCTCTCTCTCTCTCTCTCTCTCTCTCTCTCTCTCTCTCTCTCTCTCTCTCTCTCTCTCTCTCTCTCTCTCTCTCTCTCTCTCTCTCTCTCTCTCTCTCTCTCCAAAACAAAATACCAGACTCCCACATACATATTCACATAATTACAAGCCGTAACAAGCGCCCGAATATTAGTATGTCAGCAGTTTTACACGTCGGAGTTTTCACGGCCGTAATACGCCATGTTGGACAAAATAAACTCACTTCTCCCAGCAATAGTTATAAATTCCCTTTGACGGTACAAAGCGACCAACAAACTGTGAAAAAATATCTAACGAGTGTAGCAGAGGACGAGGTAAATGTGGTAGGGCGTAATGACAGGGGTGGGGTGGGGGGGAGGGATTCTGACAGAGGAAGAGGGGGTAGGTACTTGGTTTCGTACCGATAGGGGGAAATACTTACAGGGAAGAGACGTGGCTAATAGGAGGGAAGTATTAATGGAGTGAAATTCAGAATGCGGATGAGGGTGGTAGGGAAATCTGAATATAGTCCTTGACAGGGGAAATGGCGACAAGGGAAAGAGGTGACAATTGGCTTGTTAATGCTGACAGGGGGAAATAGTGACTTACAAAGGAAAACAATGACAGAGGAAAGAACTGACAGGAAAAAACTGACAGGGGAAAATACTAACAAAGGAAAAAAATGACAGGGAACAATACTGGCAGGGGAAACTACAGACAGGGGATAACAGGGGAGATACTAACGAAGGAAAGGGGTGGCAATTTGTAAAGAAGAGTTGACAGGAGAAACGGTCGGTCTGTGTTAGAGAAAGATCAAGAGGGAAAATATCGAAAGGAGAAGGTGGTTAGTAGGAAGTCAGTGTAAGTAATAAGTAGTAGGCCAATGTAAGTATTAAGTCAATATAAGTAGTCGATCACTATAAGTTGTAAGTATTAAGCTAATGTAAGCAGAAAGGCAATGTAAGTTGTAAACTGTAAGTCAATGTCAGTGACTGAAAGTGCTGACACAGGAAGACACTGGTAGGTGCTGATAGGGGAAATATGGTATAAAACTTTGAGTGAAAGTATGAAGATTGAGTAGATGAACAAAGAGAGAGAAAGAGAAAGAGAACGAGAAAGAGAAAGAGAGAGAGGGAGAGAAGGAGAGGGAGAGAAGGAGAGGGGAGAGAAGGAGAGGGAGAGAAGGAGAGGGAGAGAAGGAGAGAGAGAGAAAGGAGAGAGAGAGAGATAGATAGATAGATAGAGAGAGAGAGAGAGAGAGAGAGAGAGAGAGAGAAAGAGAAAGAGAAAGAGAAAGAGAAAGAGAAAGAGAAAGAGAAAGAGGGAGAGAGAGAGAGAAAGAAGGAGAGAGGGAGAGAAGGAGAGGGAGAAGGAGAGGGAGAGAAGGAGAGGGAGAGAAGGTGAGAGAGAGAAGGTGAGAGAGAGAAGGTGAGAGAGAGAGAGAGAGAGAGGGAGAGAGAGAGAGAGAGAGAGAGAGAGAGAGAGAGAGAGAGAGAGAGAGAGAGAGAGAGAGAGAGAAGGAGGGAGAGAAAGAGAGGGAGAGACAGTAAGTAGTCGTGGATGAAAGGAGGCGAGTGGACAAAATTGGCAATAAAGCACATAACAAATACTTTCCGATGCAGGGTCCAATATCCAGGGGGAAAAATGCAGTGGCAAGGAAGGATGCCCAAACACAAAAGGAAAAGGGAGAGAGAGAAAGAGAGAGACTGAGAGAGAGAGAGAGCGAGAAAGAGAGAGAGAGAGAGAGAGAGAGAGAGAGAGAGAGAGAGAGAGAGAGAGAGAGAGAGAGAGAGAGAGAGAGAGAGAGAGAGAGAGAGAGAGAAATATAAAGAAAGAGGGAGAGAGAGAGAGAGAAAATATAAAGAAAGAGGGAGAGAAAGGACGAAACAAACAAACGCTATAGTAACAGACACAGACGCAGAGAAATTAAAACAATCACATAAATGGATATGCAAAACAGAGAGAGCTAGAAGAAGAAAAGGACAGAAACAAAAACAAAAAAAGGACACGATAAACACACTCGCATACACTCAAACATCCACTCATAACACACACACACACAAACACAAATAAAGAGCTCCGTACATTAACAACGAAAGGGAAAACCACTGCAGCATGTCGAGGACAGCCATTACCAACAGCCAAAGAATTATGCACGTTCGGCATCATGTATCACGGTAGGAAATGCCAACAGTTACAGCGCCAAGTTCACAGCAGACAGCACAGCAAAGGGTTAGAACGTGGCACTCTGGGGCAATAAGGAAATGTAGTTTAGGCCTTGATGGGGAGCCGAGTTGTAACAATCACGAGGCAGAAAGGTATTCCTCTCTGGGTTATGGTAATGCTGAGGCAAAATGCTTGGCAAGCTTGGAGATAAGGAAGTGAAAATGCTGTTGGTAAAAGAGTTCAGTGAAAAAAAAAGAAAAAAAAAGATGGAGGGGAGGGGAGGAATTAAGAAAAAGAATGAAAGGAAAAAGTAATTGTCGAAAGAAGAGGAAGAAAGGGAATGAAAGGAGGGAAATAGGAAGGGAAAGATAATGTAGGATGTGAAGATAATGGTGATGATGAAGAGGAAGAAGATGGAATCCATGGTCATCATAACACCTAAAGTGGTTCATGCAATTTTGAACTTAGAGAGCTATAAGAGTGTTCTCGTGTTCAACAAGGGAGATATAAAGTTGATTAAACAGCACGAGACTTCGATATATACCTCAGACAATCCACCTCACCATACACATATTACATCCGTTTTCACACACACACACACACACACGCGCACACATACACAACCACACACACACACATACATACACATACACACACACACACACACACAACCACACACACACACATACATACACATACACACACACACACACACACACACACACACACACATACATACACATACACACACACACACACACACACACACATACATACACACACACACGAAAAAAACAACAATAAGATCTCAAAACTTCTTTTAACAATCAAAAACACAAAACCCCCTTTGGTCGTATCCACTTCCTAAACTTCGCACAGCATCTTCAACTTCCGAGAGATCTAGACTTCTTGAGGGTGATGATGCTAATCTTGAGTAAAACGAAGCCAAAAACAACTTCCCAAGCCCTTCTGGCGCTACTTCCGTTGGGAAAGTTTCTGTCTGTCTGCCTGGCTGTCTGTCTGTCTGTCTGTCTGACTGTCTGTCTATCTGTCTGTATGTCTCTCTGGCTGGCTGGCTGGCTGTTAGTCTGTCTGTCCGTCCGTTCGTCTGTTTAGCTGTCCTTCTGCCTGTCTGTCTGTCAGTCTGTCTATCTGTCTGTCTATCTGTCTGTCTATCTGTCCGTCTGTATGTATGCCTATTTGTTTGTCTCACGGTCTAGATAAATATGGTGTATATTCTTTAGTTAAAATGAGAATGGTTATAGTTTTTTTTTTTTTTTAATAAATGAGGGAGATGACTGAGACAGGCAGAGAAAGGGAGAGGAAATAATAATGATAAAAACATTAATGATAGTAATAATGAGAGTAATGACAGTAATGATGATGATGATGATAATGGTAACAATAATGGCGATAATAATGTAAAAATAATAATTATAATAGTAATAGTAATAATAATAATAATAATAATAATAATAATAATGATAATAATAATAATAATAATAATAATGATAATAATGATAATGGTAATAATAATGATAATATTATCATTAATGATAACAATAATGATGATATTAACGATGGTGATGATGATGATGATAATAAAAATAACGATAACAGTCATGATAATACTTATACTACTACTAATGATAATAATAATAACAATAATAAATAGATAAATAGATAGAGAGGAGCAAGGCGAGCCAAACGCCCCTTCGAATATCCCGAGGCACATCACCGGGGTAAAACTCGTGTCCCCTTCATCATAAAAGTTCTCTGTGACAATTTTTTTTTTCACTCTCACTTTTCGGGGACAAAGTTATCGGAACGCGTATCGAAAAAAAAAATAGATTGCATCGGCCTCGATAAAATGCAGATCATGGTGAAACTAGTTATTTTTTTCCCTTTCTTGTTATCACCGTCCCCGTTTTTTATTGTTATCAATGTTATCATCGTCATCATTATAATTGTTACTACTACTATCATCAATATTAATATCATTGTTATTATTGCAATTATCATCATATTTATTCTCTCCACAATGAACATTATCTTTAAATCTTTATTGTTATCAATAACACTGTTATTACCAAAATCATCATTATCAACATTATCATTATAATGATAATGATGAATACAATTATTATTATGATCATTACAATAATACGATGAATACTATTATTATCATCATT